GATCGGGTGGCGGAGGCGGCAGGGTGAGGCGTAATCGAGCCCACAGGTCGACCCCGATGAGGACCTCGCTGCTAAGGTTATCCAAGACCTGGAAACGGTGGCGGACAGAGCGAGGGCCGATCCGGAGGGCGAGTCGGACTGAGCCGGAGGTGGATGCCCTGGAGCCGTCGGCCAGGTTGACCGGTTCTTCGGATGGCGGATCTGGAGGCCGTGTTCGGACAGGCGGTCGGCCATGGTGGCGTTTATGAAGGACACCTCCGATCCGGAGTCGAGAAGCGCCCAGGCGGTGAGTCGGCGGATCCGGACTAATAGGTGCGGCCGTGGCGTGTACTCTAACTGGACGCGGGTCGGGCGGTGGCCTCCTCGGTTCCGACCCGCTGACCGTTTCCCGCCGGAGGATGGCAGTCCCGTGTTAGAACGCCATCCTTCCCGCACTGTGAACAGAACTTTCGTGCTGGGCGGCGGCAATCGAGTCGGGTGTGTCCTCGCTGCTTGCACCGCCAGCAGCAGTTCGAGCGGTCATATGTGGCTGCAGCGAGGTTTGCCTCGGTAGATCTGGAGACCTCGCGACGTTGTTCTTGACGGCGCCGGTGGATCTCCTCCCACTCAGCGGCGCGGCTACATAGTTCGGAGACGGTGTGCAGTTCGTCTAACCGAATGTATAGCTGGAGCTCTGGGTCAGCGTTTTCGTACAGCTGTTCGAGCTGGTCCCTGCGGGTGTAACCGCCGGCCCGACGCATCATGGTTTGCACGGCGGTGGCGTATCGAGTAAAAGCCTCCCCTGGCTTTTGTCGCCGGCCTTGTATTTCTCGCCGCAATTGTCGCTTATACCCGGGCGACAGGTATTGGGCGAGGAAATCTTTTCGGAATTCGGTCCAGGTGGACCACTGTTCTCTGGTGTTCCTCCACCACAGGAGGGCCTCGCCTTTTAGCAGCTCGGCTAGCCCGATTAAGAGATGGTGGTCTTCCAGACCATAGGCCACACTGAGTTCCTCTAGATGCTCGAGGAACGCGAGGGGGTCTTTACCCTCGAAATGGCAGCCCCACTTGCGTATCTGGTTAAGGGCCTTCGCCGGGTCGGCTTCGGGTGGTTCGGGGGTTCCTCGTGCACTCCGATAACGGTCTTCGCGGCTGGGTACTTGGAGTGTTACGGACGCTCCGGTGTCGGCGTGGGTAGCCATCACGTGGTTTCTGATGCGGCGGCGGAGGTCGACTAATCTCCCTTCCGGGTCGAGGTCGCGGTCGGCGAGATAACGGGCGGCTTTCTCTTTGTCTAGGTGGTAAATCCACCCGAGCATATGGATTGCGAACCGGAGTCTCAGACGGTCGAGTCAGGTCCCTGTTCGGGCGCCATGTAACGGGGCTCCTTTCCCGACGCCACGGATCGGCTCGTCGGTGCCAGGATTCGGGAAGAGGGGGGAGACTCAGGTTCGCAATAACCACGCCAATCGTTCTGGTAAAAACAGAGTTTATTGAAGCCGCCCTGCAAGAGTTGGCTTATTATCTAGTCTACGCGTACAGAGGAGAATCGCAGGAAGTGCGGACCGCGACCAACTTATACGGACGCGGACACGATTTATAACTAAGGAATACAAAGAATGCAACGGACGAAGCGTGACCAAGTCATACGGACATGGACACGCCTTAGAACTAAGGTTTACAAATGATAACGCGACGGACGAAACGCGACCAAATCATACGGACGCGGACACGTCTTATAACTAAGGTTTACAAATGATAACGCGACGGACGAAACGCGACCAAATCATACGGACGCGGGCACGACTTATAACTAAAGGTTTACAAATAATAACGCGACGGACGAAACGCGACCAAATCATACGGACGCGGACACGACTTATAACTAAGATAGTAGCGTGGCGGACGAAATTTACCCAACGCGGCGTGGATACGAGCGCCCTAAAAAGGGCGAGCTCCGTAAACCGCCTTGGATTCGGGCGCCCTGAGAAGGGCGAGCTCCGCAAGATGTCGGTGGCTCTCGGAGGATCCGGTGACCGAGGAAACTCGGCCTTCCGACGAGAACGCTCGTCGGCCGGGGTGATGTTTGGAGTGGATCCGGTGCCCGAGGACGCTCGGCCTGCCCGACGAGAACGCTCGTCGACCGGGGTGATGTTCGGAGAGGATCCGGAGACCGAGAATGCTCGGCCTGCCCGACGAGAACGCTCGTCGACCGGGGTGCTGTTCGGAGAGGATCCGGTGACCGAGGACGCTCGGCCTACCCGACGAGAACGCTCGTCGACCGGGGTGATGTTCGGAGAGGATCCGGAGACCGAGAATGCTCGGCCTGCCCGACGAGAACGCTCGTCGACCGGGGTGTTGTTCGGAGAGGATCCGGTGACCGAGGACGCTCGGCCTGCCCGACGAGAACGCTCGTCGACCGGGGTGCTGTTCGGAGAGGATCCGGTGACCGAGGACGCTCGGCCTGCCCGACGAGAACGCTCGTCGGCCGGGGTGATGTTCGGAGAGGATCCGGAGACCGAGACGCTCGGCCTGCCCGACGAGAACGCTCGTCGACCGGGGTGCTGTTCGGAGAGGATCCGGTGACCGAGGACGCTCGGCCTACCCGACGAGAACGCTCGTCGCCGGGTGATGTTCGGAGAGGATCCGGTGACCGAGGACGCTCGGCCTGCCCGACGAGAACGCTCGTCGACCGGGGTGATGTTCGGAGAGGATCCGGAGACCGAGAATGCTCGGCCTGCCCGACGAGAACGCTCGTCGACCGGGGTGCTGTTCGGAGAGGATCCGGTGACCGAGGACGCTCGGCCTACCCGACGAGAACGCTCGTCGGCCGGGGTGATGTTCGGAGGTGAGGAGTGGTCCTTGAGTACGCTCAAGAGACCAGGACGGGACTGGTGTCGAAGTCTCGGCTGCGCCGCTTTATATACCCGTCGGTCAGCCCCCTCCAACTAACTTGGAGTGGGGCGGTCCGGTCGGGTGGGGCGAAAAGGCAAATTCCCACGTGTTCGATGTGTGGTGGCCCCGACAGGGGCCGTTTATATGAGCGCGGGCGGACGGTCGGCCTCGTGCTTGCGCGGCTTCTAGTGACGACAAAACGGGTCGTCACATTATAACATGAAAAATAATACTAAATAATATTTTAAAAGAACATCCCTCTGACTTGATAAATTTATAAAAAAATGAATACAATATGTTGTATTGAGACGCGCAGTGTTGTTTCGAGTTGTGCTCTTGTCGGGCTAGCTCCGCGCGAGCAGCGGAAAGTGAGGCGCCGAGTCGCTCTTTTCTCGAAGTCTATATCGGCCTCGCGTCGCGTTCAACTCGGCACGATGTTTCAGGGGGCGGCCTTTTCGTCTTTAAGGCGTTGCTCTTGTTGGGCAAATAGAGCTTATTACTTCTATTTCGGCTTGGAGAGAGACGGTTTATCGGCCGCGGTTTGCCTCGTTGTCATACTCATTGTTGCGGAGACGTTTTGTACTCGTTATTTTAGGCGAGGTTTGTATTTTATTGTAGTCTAGGAAACTAACTGGTGAAACGGCGTGGGGCGCAATTCGAAAAGATTCTTTGGGGTGTGTCCTACGGATACCGGTTAAAGAAGCGGTTTGAATAGAGGGATCTCGGCGCGAGGGATATAAGTCTATCCCCGCTGTCACCAGTTTGTTACGTCCAAGGGGCGTTGGGCGCCGAAACTACCCACGTAATCCCCAAAGACCGCGGGTGCTGGAATTTTTAACAAAGATCTAGACCCGAAATTCCCGAATTATAACGAAGGTCGGTTCTGGATCGTTATAAGGGGCTTCTTCGTGACGGGAAGGTAAGAGAGGAAGTTATTAAGGCTCCGGGGCAGGCTTCACAGGTAGAGTCGCGCACAGCGACAGTTCCTACTAAAAACTCGGATACAGGAGGTGCATCCTCAAAACGCGAATCGTCTCCCAGGGTGATATAATGGCGTACTAGGTGCTCGTATAAATTTCGTTGCGGAGGTTCCAGGTCGGTGAAACAACGATCGCAGATGATCGTGCGTGTAGTGAGGTGTCTACGAAATATAGCTATGGTGCAACGAGCGGACGCTACTCACTCGGTATAGGACAAGGATGGGGGTCCCAGACGGATTAGGGTTAAGAGTTCGGAGCACATTATTTCAGCATCGCGGAGTGGTTCGAGTAACTGTTGACGGTTGACTCCGAGGTACTATACGCGGACCATAGGTGCGGATGTATAGAGGGTGGATGCGAGTAGTTAGATATATAGTCGTAGCCCGATAGCGAAATTAGCCAATTAGCTAAAAGCCTAGGCGTTTAGCTAAATGCCGCCTGTTAGGCTAATCGGACGATATAGTCTAATGGCCTGGAAAATTCAGCCTGTTAGACGAGAAGTCGGCTTTTCGCCTACGGCCTGGCGCGCTGTAGGCGATTAGAGAAATGCTTGTTTTGGAGCTCATTGTTGTCATTTATTGTGTAAAATATCTCGTGGGTCTTAAGTAAATCATCACAGAGCTCGTTGTATATTCATTTTTTTGTTAGTTGGCAATCAATACAGCCATGGCAAGTTATATGCCAGTAAACCGCGATGAGTTTAACGAAAAATTAGATAAATTCTATCAAATCGACCAGGCAGTAATCGAACAGTGTGGAGGCGAGATCAGATGATCACGTTATGAAAGTTCTGCAAGACTCAGGTTCCAAGTACTAAAAAGACAGTATCTCATTATCATTAGCGAAGAAGTATGAGCTACAAAAATTGGAACGGAATCGTATGTAATTTTAAAACGAAAAACTTCGAATGAGCCAGTTATTTACGTAATAGCGATGGAGGATTACTACGATAAATTGTTAGAAGCTCATGGATAATGGTCGAGAATTCGTGGCTGCAGTAATACACGAACTTGTTTCCATCTGGCCTCACTGCAGGATTGTTCATGGGCGTCCGCGATACCCACAGAGCCAAGGTAGTGTCGAAAGGTCAAATGCGGACGTTGAAAACATGTTAAGAGCCTGGATGATCGATAATGATTCGATAAATGGAGTCGTGGTTGCTACGAAGTACAAGTAATGGCTCTCACATATATAATTAAATTAATATTGTGTTCTTGAATACACACTTGAAAATTTACATACTTTAAATATTGATTTCAGTGGCAAAAGAATACATCGCGACATAGAGTCATAAACAGGAGCCCGTACGAAGCTCTACTTGGACCGATAAAAAGCGGCATAAGAAATACATCTTTGCCTGATGAAATTTTAAATTCGCTTCAGACAGAGGAAGACTTGGAGCAAGCTCTGGAGGAGCAGAATGTACAATTGAACGCGAGGTAATTGACTTAAAATAAATATAATAGAACTAGATAAAAATAAATATAATGTAATAGAACTCATATAGTGATTTGAACTTTAGTGTTGAGCAGTGCGAAGACGTAGGCAAGAGAAAAAGAATGCGAGAAAAAAGCGGAATGCGAGAAGATAGAAAGAAGAGGAAAAGAGAGGAAGAGAGGGACCACAGAAGAAGCGACAGGTAGACAACTCGAGCAGTATACTTTGCACAAAGTGCAAAATGGAAATGCATAGCGACCGCGGACAGATTGCTATCTGTTCATTGTGCGCTAGAGGCGAACAGCTACTTGACACTCGGTTCAAATTGTTTCGAGCGTCAAACGACAGAGGCCGAAAAAATGGTTACCTGTTCGAGTATCACTTTTCCACCCCTTCAGATCAATGACACCATTACATTATCTGTTCCCACTGTTGACCGTGGGCCTCTCAATTTAATAACATATTTGGCGTTGTAACTGATACCAAAAATGACGTATATCAAATTGGAACTAAGGATGGGATATTAAAAGGATGGTTCCCCCGTATTGAAATTGCAAAATCGGGCACTAATCTTATTACCATGGCTGACGTTCCCAAAATGTTTTTCTTACTTTGAGGGAAGCTGCTGCAAAGCAGTCGGCAAGTGGTGGACAAGGATATAAAAAATGCAATTGCAAAATTGCTAAAAATCAGTGTCAGACAAATAGATGTGCATGTTTTAAAGCAAAATTCTTTGCAATTCTCGTTGCCACAGTAGCGCATCTTGCATTAACAAATAGTAATGTAGTAATAATTGATGTAGTAAATAAATTGACGACATATCGAGCTCCAAAACAAGCATTTCTCTAATCGCCTACAGCGCGCCAAGCCAAGCCGTTAGGCGAAAAGCCGACTTCTCGTCTAACAGCCTGAATTTTCCAGGCCATTAGACTATATCGTCCTCGATTAGCCTAACAGGCGGCATTTAGCTAAACGCCTAGGTTTTAGCTAATTGGCTAATTTCGCTATCGGGTTACGACATATATATATATATATATATATATATATATGTATGTTAAAACGTGTTGTTATTACAATTTTTAATTATGACATTTATTTTTTTAGTTTGACTCATTATATTTTTTAAAAATATCCAATAAGATATTGCATGTGCGTAACTATGAAAAGGAAATCACAGAAAGAGTCTCAGAGAAGAGAATATCCATAAAACGATTTGGAAGACGCAAGGTAAATACACTTATACTTTCCTAGGAATATAAACGTATACTTATTGTATTTTAAGTTTTTATTATACAGGGTGAGTTATTTTAATTAAGAATTTAACTAGGCTCTGTAATATAGATATAAATTTAACATATATAAGATAGGCAATAAGAGCCAAATCGCGGATGACAGTGCGTTATCCTAAACGAAACTAAAGTTTTTTTTTTTTTTCGTTAGAATTAAATACCTGTGCACAAGGCACCAAATTTTACTTGGACACGGCCAAGATATAAAATTTGGGAATAATCTCTACAAGAGATTTTAATTCCATGCATCCCCTATTCCCCCTAAAGAAATATAAATGCGAGAGAAAAATATAGATCCGAAAGTCGCAGAATCGGGAATCAAACCCGAGACCTTTCGCTTGCCGGGCGACTGCTCTTCCAACTGAGCTATTCAGATCCTTTCGATTCTATACTTTTCTCTGTTATATATATTAATGTTGGTAAACAACGCCTTTAAGCCAGCGTGTATAAATTAAGAATTTAACTAGGCTCTGTAATATAGATATAAATTTAACATATATAAGATAGGCAATTCTTAATTTATACACGCTGGCTTAAAGGCGTTTGTTTACCAACATTAATATATATAACAGAGAAAAGTATAGAATCGAAAGGATCTGAATAGCTCAGTTGGAAGAGCAGTCGCCCGGCAAGCGAAAGGTCTCGGGTTCGATTCCCGATTCTGCGACTTTCGGATCTATATTTTTCTCTCGCATTTATTTCTTTAGGGGGAATAGGGGATGCATGGAATTAAAATCTCTTGTAGAGATTATTCCAAATTTTATATCTTGGCCGTGTCCAAGTAAAATTTGGTGCCTTGTGCACAGGTATTTAATTCTAACGAAAAAAAAAAAAAAACTTTAGTTTCGTTTAGGATAACGCACTGTCATCCGCGATTTGGCTCTTATTGCCTATCTTATATATGTTAAATTTATATCTATATTACAGAGCCTAGTTAAATTCTTAATTTATACACGCTGGCTTAAAGGCGTTTGTTTACCAACATTAATATATATAACAGAGAAAAGTATAGAATCGAAAGGATCTGAATAGCTCAGTTGGAAGAGCAGTCGCCCGGCAAGCGAAAGGTCTCGGGTTCGATTCCGATTCTGCGACTTTCGGATCTATATTTTTCTCCCGCATTTATTTCTTTAGGGGGAATAGGGGATGCATGGAATTAAAATCTCTTGTAGAGATTATTCCAAATTTTATATCTTGGCCGTGTCCAAGTAAAATTTGGTGCCTTGTGCACAGGTATTTAATTCTAACGAAAAAAAAAAACTTTAGTTTCGTTTAGGATAACGCACTGTCATCCGCGATTTGGCTCTTATTGCCTATCTTATATATGTTAGAGTCATTTTAATCTATGGACCCGAATACGTAGTTTAGTCCAAAGAACTAGCAATGGACATCTTGTTCGTCAACGTCAACATCATGAATATGACGATAATGATGCGCGAGCTGTAACTATTTTAACAATAGTTCACCTTAATCCTCATGTTAGTACTCGCCAGATTGAAAGGGAAATAGGTATACCACAAAGAACTGTTGTTAGAATTTTAAGAGCTCTAAATTATCACCCTTTCCACATAACTCTTACGCAGGCTTTACAGCCTAATCATCATCTGATGCGTATTGCTTTTTGCCAGTGAGCTTTACAAATGTTACACGATGATCCTAATTTTTTTAGGTATGTGCTTTTCTCAGATGAGGCTAAATTTTATAGTGACGGACAACTTAATAGACACAACTGCCATTATTGGTCAGATGTTAATCCCCACTGGTATAGGCCAATAGATCATCAAAATCGATGGAGTATTATGGTGTGGTGCGGCATTGTAAATGGTTATTTGATTGGACCTTATTTTTTTGAAGAGAACATTGATAGACACAGTTACTTATCGTTGCTAAAAGATCACTTACCAGGCTTATTAGAAGATGTTGACTTAGCAACAAGAACAAGAATGTGGCTTCAACAAGATGGTGCTGCACCGCATTATGCACTCATTGTACGTGCCTTTTTAAATGCCAGTTACAATGACAGATGGATTGGACGAAGGGGTCCAGTTGAATGGCCTCTTTGCTCACCAGATCTGACGTCGCCCGATTTCTTTTTATGGGGATACTTGAAAAATGTTGTTTTTGCTAAACGACTAACCACAAGACATGATTTTATGGACCGCATTCGTAGAGCTTGTGCAGCCATTCCTAGAGCTACCCTGCTTAGAACTGTGGATAGTTTTCAAAACAGATTGCAGTTATGTCTCGAAGTCAACGGAGGTAATTTTGAACAATTACTCCGTGGGTAGCTCATTTGAATTACAGTGTCAGTGAGAGGCAAGGGTACTCACGATAATCAAGCACCCCGACGTGAGAGGCAAGGGGACTCACGATAATCAAGCACCCTGACGTGAGAGACAAGGGGACTTACGACAATCAGGCACCCCGACGTGAGAGGTAAGGGGACTTACAATAATTAAGCACCCCGACGTGAGAGGCAAGGGGACTCACGATAATCAAGCACCCCGACGTGAGAGGCAAGTGGACTCACGATAATCAGGCACCCCGACGTGAGAGGCAAGGGGACATACAATAATCAAGCACCCCGACGTGAGAGGCAAGTGGACTCACGATATTCAGGCATCCCGACGTGAGAGGCAAGGGGAAATACAATAATCAAGCACCCGACGTGAGAGGCAAGGGGACTCACGATAATCAGGCACCCCGACGTGAGAGGCAAGGGGACTCACGATAATCAAGCACCCCGACGTGAGAGGCAAGGGGACTCACGATAATCAAGCACCCCGACGTGAGAGGCAAGGGGACTCACGATAATCAGGCACCCCGACGTGAGAGGCAAGGGGACTCACAATAATCAAGCACCCCGACGTGAGAAGCAAGGGGACTCGCAATAATCAAGCATCCTAAAAGAAACAGAACTTACTACATCCACGTCGTTGTTTCCGGGTAACGCTAAAAGTAAGATGAAAGTGCTTTTGACCTTGATATGACCTTCAAAAGGTCAGGTCAAAAACTAAAAAATCCTTATGCTCATGTAAAAAGTGCCATTGTTTAAGAGTCTATTGTTAAGAAACGGATTCTGCGGTCAAAAATAGGGTTTACTAATAAAAAAAATGCGTTATAAACCTCAAACAACCTTGAAAATTGACCTCAAGGTCAAGCTAGTCAAAGTAATTTACACTTTTACAATTCATTGACTTTGTTTAAGCATTATGCACATTTGTGTTACCCAGAAAACCACGTCATTTCAGGAAAAGTACACCAGATCGTTTTTCAGGCATTTCATCTTTATTTTTGACCTTTCCAAGGTCGCAAAAACAATTTTTTCATAAGACAAGTTTGATGTAAAATTTTCCGCTCTTTCAAAATCCGCAGTCAAAAATAGGGTGTTCCATTTAAAAAACCATCGTGACCTTGAAATAACCTTCAAAATTGACCTCAAGGTCAAAACCAATGGTACAATTGAATGACCCTCTCTGTCCTGGTCAACTTTTATCTAAACCATTTTTTCGTAGATACCGTAATTTGGAAGATATTCGGATCCATAGATTACAATGACTCACCCTGTATAATAATGATATATTAATAATCTTGAGAATAATATATATATATATATTTCTGAAGATATTAATCTATATGTTAACCTACGAGTAATATTATCTTTATAATAATCATTGTTTATATGTTAGAATAACTTAACAAAGCGTACAAGACATTATATATATATATATATATATATATATATATATATATATATATATATATATATATATATATAATGTCTTGTACGCTTTGTTAAGATATTCTAACATATAAACAATGATTATTATAAGATAATATTACTTGTAGATTAACATATAGATTAATATCTTCAGAAATATTTTAGCATAAAAGAATAAAATATACATATACACTAACGTATGACTAAAATGTTAAAAAGATATATTACGTATTATAGCTATACGAGATGAGTAAAGAAATATAAACTCAACAACAATAGAGTTGTAATGTAGGTCGTAAGAAATTGATCAATTATAGTTGCAGTTCAAATGAATAATCGACTGTGACTGATTAATTTCTTACGACTTTACGACTCTATTATAGATCCCGTATAAGTAGCATTGTCATTTTGTCTATTAATTAAATGTTAAAATATTAATGAATGTTAAAATATTAATGAATTTTTTTAATTAAATAAATATAGATTTTATAATATATGTGTGCGCGACAGAAAGCAGAATAAGAAGGTCGGAAGCGAAAGGACAGCGAAGCACTGCACTCGACACACGCGTAACGTGAACAAAAAATATATTTACTCTAAGAACAACAAAAATTACAATTGTTTAAACCGCACAGAAATTGCCCGAGAATTAACTGACAAGAATAAACCAAAAGAAATAGCCGAGTCGATAATTAATAACTAAATGTTCCGCAAGCAACGGTAATTAGACGTGAAAACCGAAAAAGACAAGCGATCTTTTCCTTAACGTAGAAGCACACTCTTGACGCGACGAGCAATCGGAAAAGAGCCCCCCGATCACGAGAGAGGAGGTTTTTATAGGCCCGTGTTTCTAGAATAGTCGAGAACAATTCTCTTTATTCTATCGTTCGGCTGAGGTCGAAAGAGCGTTTAGTGTAATTATTTACTTTTAGAAAAATAGTCGTTTTCTTATTATCGGGACTAAATTGTATCTCCTCTCGCGCGACCGCGGTGTTTACCATTATCGGTTATTTGACGTAAGCGCTTCCTTTTCGCAGGCGCGGGGTATACGTATACCTGTGCGGCCGAGCGCTATTTGAAACAATATTAATACAAAATGATGCATGATGCATGTTGCATGTGAATGAAACGATTGCATGAGTTTTAACGCAATGTTTTTAAGCCTTTTCAGTTTGCGTTTAGCCGTTCGATTTTCGAACAATATGTTATAACAACATTACAATACGATAATTTCCACACAATATTTTTTTATTGATGAAAGAGATAGATAGCATTTTATTAAAATGTTAATTTATTAATATTATTTTATAAAATAATAAATTGGTAAAAACTTATAACGCTCTTATATATTAAAATAAAATTGTAAAATTAATGTAAGAACAGGCCAACTCAAGAGCATAAATTATTAGGATGTTAGTGAATATTATAAATTTTTATTACTTCCCAATTATACCATATTAAAACAATTAAAACATATTAACTCTTAGTCCCGACTCATGGGTCGTTTGCGACCCAAACGAAATTTCAAAGTGCTGTAATTTTTGAACACTTGTGACGAACACCGCATTTCATGCTGTATATCTTGTTATCACAATTAAACGTATCATCACACACTAAAACATTGTTCTGTTATTAATTTTTACCCACTTTACAACAAATTTATTCATTAAAATCATTTTTACACGCGATTTTAGTCATTTTTACACGCAATTTTCGCCATTTTGAGGTTCAAAAATTAAGCATTTTTTTAAATACAATTTTTTGTACTATTGTTTTTATGAAAGGTGTTCCTCACCTTTAATTTCTTTTTTTATTTTTGTCGATATCTTCATTTGGCATAAAGTTATGATATTTTAAGTGAACAAGTGATTTTTCCTTAGATACCTCCATTTTTTAATGACAAACTATATAAAAAAATAATTTTTATCGAAATATTATGATTGGGACTTCAAGTTGAAGGTTGCAAGAAGCTCCATGAATTTCTTCAGATTTTTTAAAGCGTTTTTACTGATCCAAATAACGCAAAGACGCAAACGACCCATGAGTCGGGATTAAAGGTGCCGAAAAGAACCGTCGGGACTAAGGGTTAATACAATTAAATCAAACGTTTCGACTGTACGCAGTCTTCATCAGTGGTGTCATATAGTATTAGTCAATTATAAAATTTTAAAAAACATTTCGACGATGCGAACGATTGCAATTAATACTATTAATTATACACATATATAAAATAATTTGGATGATGCGAACGATTACAACTTTTGATGATGTGTAGCATGTATGATTTTGAGGCTGAATACATCACTATATTGTTTTTGGATCATTTCAAGATGTTAATGCGGATTATTTCCAATGATGATTTTAGAGGTGGAAAAACTCTTGGCATTCCATCGTTTGAAAGCGTGGAATTGTCTTAGTTTCCCTTAATTATTGTACGTTTCTATATGAAATGACACACTTTTTAATAACTAATGTTAAGAAATTTTTTATGAATAATACAATGAAAATTGCTTACTAATGAATCTGCTAAATCGATGACTTTATAAATATTCACGCCGCTGCTCAGTTACATATTACTTTACAGGCCATCATGAAGAACGGTTATACATTTGGTACTTATGTCGTAAGTTGTTTACAAGACATTATTTTCTACATGACATTCTCATTTTGTTTATTTTTTTTCTATGTTAGCTAATTTTTCAAGAACATCCAACTAAGACTCGTTGAGTAACTCTGTGTCTTTTTTTAAATTTATACCGTTTTCTTGTTCTATTATATGTAGCATTTCAGAAATCAATCTTTTTTGATAATTTATTTCATGATCTAAAATTTTAACTTTATTCTAATCAAATGTATGCTGCTCCCTAATTCTATGTTCAGAGATAACAGAGTGTCTCTTTGAATCCAATTTGATGTTATTCATATGCTCTTTTATCCTTGTCTGTAATTGTCTCTTTGTCTGACCCACGTATGTTGCGTCCAAAATCTTGAATTAGTAGTCAATATACTTTCAAGTACACTATAATGATAATATAAGATATTTTATATATGTTTATAATTAATAGTATGAATTGCAATCGTTCGCATCGTCGAAATGTTTTTTAAAATTTTATAATTGACTAATACTAAATGAGACACCACTGATGAAGACTGCGTACAGTCGAAACGTTTGATTTAATTGTATTAATATGTTTTAATTGTTTTAATATGGTATAATTGGGAAGTAATAAAAATTTATAATATTACTAACATTCTAATGATTTATGCTCTTGAGTTGGCCTGTTCTTACATTTATTTTACAATTTTATTATTATTTTATGTTAATTTGTTTTTTTATTTACGTATATTATATATTATGTACACACATATATAGATGTATAATTAAATGGATCTGTTAAAAATTTTTAATAAAGACAATTAACTCTAATCAATGTTTGTATATCAATTTATACATAAATATATTATTAAAAAATCACAAAAGCAAAATTTTTGCTAGTAAAATAAAAAAAGTTATATTATATTTATAGTATAAATATTACTATATAGTTGCAGCAACGTTGCATTTTTTCAAATACATTACATTGCAATATTACAAAAAGCGGCCATCCAGCCGTTGCCGCAATCTTTCAGTAACTTTGCAGAAACAATTCGCAATTCCCATGCAATATTACAATGTTTCATCGTTAGATCTATGCAATGTTTCTGCAATCTTTCGGTGCTGTATAGGATGTCGACTTTTTTTTATATACATGGCGTGTTTCTTTTCTTCTGTGAAGATTTTGTTGTAATTTCATTGCTTCTTGTAAAAAATAATTAAAAAACTTTTATTTACTTTACATAAAAAGTTTTTTAATTTTAAAATTTAACACACACACACACACACATACATATATATAATGTATTGTTTTATAATGAATTAAATATATACATTTATATCCTTTCCTTAAAAAGTGTATGTTATTCGATTACTCGAATATATCGAAGCGTTGAAGTCTCTTTTTCTGCTATGCTGATTGGATGCTGGCCCGTTGCAATATATTCGTGGTTAGGGTAGGTGCGTAGCGTACGAGCACCTCGTAATGTAAAATGATGTGTTCTATTATGTACATAATTTGAATTCTCAAATTTTTATTTCGAGAATTAAAGTTATATGTACATAATTGAAATTCATTAGATTAAAATTATGTACCCTTGCGAAGAAAAAGTTTATTTGGCGCACGCGAAGCGTGCGCTTGTGTTATCTAGTATATATATATATATATATATATATATTGTGATGTGGTCGTCCCGACGCACGTGCACTTCCCGACGCAGGGCCAAAAAATCGAACGGCCGCGCCAAGAGAGCGAGAGGGAGAGCGAACGCGAATCCCGAGAAACTTAGCGGCGCGAGAGATAGCATTATTAACGCGTTTTATTTTTATTTTTTTATGTATTGTTCGAGAGCCTTATCGAGAGGATATTTGTTTATAAGAAGAGATTACCGAGAAACGCAAAAAGTAAGCGGCAAACAAGGAAGCGGCCAAAAAATATTAGGCACGAAGCACGTGGCCAACCTGAAGATTAACGACAACAACGAAGTAATTCGGCCATGGGGCGAGAGGACGTCAGGAGTGTACCCGCCAACAGGTGCATAAAGGGCCCCGAAGATCCGCGGATAATTTCCGCACTTCTGCATCCTCCCCGCTAGAACCCCGCTAACCGACCGTTAACGAGGAGGCAGCTCAAGGCCGCGAACGCCTCGAAATAACGCACCTTCACAGCGTAAATTGTATTGTAAAATTAGTTGTCGTGAGAGGTACCGTAAATATCCCTCACGCTACATTACTGTCGCGCGAGTAAGAAAAATTGTGGAGAGCTCTAATTGGCTGTCGCGCGTACTATCCCCTACTCATTGAATTTGCCCGGCTACTGATAGCGAGTCGGCAGATTGGCGCGATCGCTGGTCCGAACTTGACGTGCCGAGAGATAGAGAGGACAGAAACTCCTAGAGAAAGAACGCGCAGTTTTGAGGCCCGAGGACTAAAGGAAGAATTTTTCCGGTGAGGCTACCCGGTGCACTGTCACGCAAGTAACACGTTCGCTCATTGTAAATTTCGAGTCTTAATACACTCTCCGCCTCTCTAACTACACCTACCCTCCCTACGTTGTCAGCACAGCACTCACGTTCTCTCCTAACCTGACTTTCCGCTCTTCTCAACTAAATTTCCTGTCTCCCTTATCACCTCCGTACCTTCCCTCATTCACTCCACCTTTTCACTCCACCTCTCTCCTTCGCTCCTGCACCCTCTCTCACCTCTTTCACTCTTAATCACTTTCTCACTCTTGATCAGACTCTACCGACATCCGCCCACGATGAGACCGGAAACGAAAGTCCGGATGCACATCTAAGTATATATATATATCAAATCAGTAAAATATCTACTAAAGAACACTTACATTATGCAAAAAGAGTACTTTTATTTAGGCTACTTTTTCTTAGGATATTTTTCACAATTATTGATTAACTTCATCTATCGATTTGAAACTCATAAAATACATATTAATAAAGAATTATATATAATTATTTTTATAATTACTTTTGCAATCTATATACCCTATTTTTTACAGAGACATAAGTTGAATAAAATGGCACTTATAACGTCTTCTTGGATCTTGGACAGCGTAATAATTCTAATAGTTTCTGTAACAATTGTCTATTTTTACATGACACGCAAGTTCAAATATTGGAAGAAACGTGGCGTTACGGAAATATCACCGACACCTTTTATGGGCAATTTTACGGAATGCGCACTTATGAAGAAATCACCAGGATTGCTATTGAAAGAATTATACGAACAAGTTGAGGATGAACCTTATGTCGGATTATTCATTTTTGACAAGCCCTTCTTACTGATTCGCGATCATGAAGTTATTAAGCACATCTTAGTAAAGAATTTTAATCACTTCTCCAATCGTTTTTTTGTACCTAATGAGACAGATCGTCTAGGTTATGCGAATCTCTTCTTCGTAAACAATCCAGTGTGGAAAATGATGAAACTGAAAATGACACCGGCTTTTACACCCGGCAAACTGAAGAAGATGATGAACTTAATAGACGAATGCGTGACAAATTTAGTTGAGTATTTGGATTCGATGGATTTGGGAGGTAAGTACTGAATGATTTACGGAAAGCTTGATATTATGAAAGAAAAGAGTATCAAATATTTAAATAAAAATATTTCTTAATAAGAATATTTGTAAGTCAGCTCTCCAATTGTTTTAAAAACTCCATATTCATCTCGACTAAGAGCCAAACGCGATGTTATTGCGACAAATTAAGATAAGAAAATTTTTTTGGAAACTGAGGAATTTGAATCCTATGGTTGGGATCTCAGAAATTCCCCTTGTTCCTTCTCTAAATATCCCCTGTAAGAAAAAGACGAGAAAAATATTGGTCCGAAAGTCGGCTGAATCGGGAATCGAACCCGAGACCTTCCGCTTGCCGGGCGACTGCTCTTCCAACTGAGAAAAAAATTTTCTTATCTTAATTTGTCGCAATAACATCGCGTTTGGCTCTTAGTCGAGATGAATATGGAGTTTTTAAAAAAATATTTTTATTTAAATAAAAATTGTTACCTAAGATATAACAATAATGTTATGCATAAACATATACATATATATATATTATTTTAATATTGAACATAAATTATATAAACATAAATTGAATTATTAATTTAATTTGAATGACTCACGTTGAGCTTAATTTTTCATAAAAATTGATAATCTGAAGTGACCATTATACATTCTTGAGAAATTATTTGTTCATAACATAAGAATTATATGTTCTGGTTTTTATATATTATTGACTTTGATTTATGTGACATAAATTTAAATCAATATCACAATTAAAAATAAAATGTAAATATAATAAAACGTTAATTTGTAATGTGTATCGCATAAGAGAAAGGTATAGTTTTAAAATCTAAAAATATATAAAAAAAAATAATTAAAAAATTAGAAAATAAAACATATAAAATAAAAAACAATTAGAAATAAATAAAAAATAAAAAACAAAATTAAAGTAAAAAACAAAACAAAAATTAAAAATAATAAAAGAACAAAAAAATTATAAGTATAAAAAATAAGCTTGTAAAAGTTGGAAATAATCACACATAAATAAAGTCTGTTGTTTATTATATAATTTTTCTTATTTAAATTTATTGTTATCATACATATTTAGCGCTATATAATTTACAAAAATTTCAGATTTTTGAATTCAAAAAATTTTTTTAATTATAATTATTATTATTAATTCTACAATTTACAAGAGCAGTCGGGAGACGCCGCGCTAAGTGTGTGTTCCGCAGCGTCAGTATACATATGCGTGTGTGCGTACGTGAGTGCATGTCAGTATGTGTATGAATGCGGGTATTCATATGTTCGTATGCGCGTGTTTGCGCGCATGAGTGCGTACGTATGTGCGTACGTGCGCGCGTGACTTCGTGCGTGTACATGTGTATGAGTGTGTGAGTACGTCCGTTGAGTATCGATATTTGTGTTTGTGTCTATTTATTACATAAAACGTGTGCATGCGTATATGTCTCAAATTTAGCGCGGCGTCTCCCGACTGCTCTTGTAAATTGTAGAATTAATAATAATAATTATAATTAAAAAAATTTTTTGAATTCAAAAATCTGAAATTTTTGTAAATTATATAGCGCTAAATATGTATGATAACAATAAATTTAAATAAGAAAAATTATATAATAAACAACAGACTTTATTTATGTGTGATTATTTCCAACTTTTACAAGCTTATTTTTTATACTTATAATTTTTTTGTTCTTTTATTATTTTTAATTTTTGTTTTGTTTTTTACTTTAATTTTGTTTTTATTTTTTATTTATTTCTAATTGTTTTTATTTTATATTTTTATTTTCTAATTTTTTTTATTTTTTTTATTTATTTTTTAATTTAAACATTATTTTCTAATTTAAACATTAAAACTTTGTTGGCAGCAGTCGGGAGTTTTTTTTTTGTAAAAAATTTTATTATTATTTTCTAATTTTTGTATTTTCTAGTTTATTTTTTCTAATTTATTTTTATTATTTATTTTCTAATTGTTTTTTTTTTTTTTATTTTTTTAAATTGTTTTTTATTTTTATTTTTATTTTCTAATTTTTTAATATTTTTTTTTTTAATTATTTTCTAATTTATTACTGTTCTTATGCTGTTTCTTCATTCTTTTGTCTCTTTGCTTCTTCATCCTACACATGTAAAAGTTTTTATTATGTAATATATATATTACAATGTATATAATATAATAATAATAATAATAAAGACACACATACACTCACCATGTGACTGCAATGTTCTATATTCTTTCCAAATATTTTTCTGCTACAATTTTTTTAATTAATATAATATAATATAAATAGAGAGATAAATAAAAAAAATAGCTAGATAGATAGATAGATTGATAGATAGAGAGAGACAGATGACAAAGACAGATGACAACAATATTTTATATCAAATACGTAAACTTATACGCAGTTATAATTATGGCTTCGACAAATATATTAACTTTCTTATGGTTATATAAGTTTATACATTATGTAATCACAAGTAAGTTTATATATTTGTATAGCCTTAATTATTATTACATATGTGAATAATCTTTTGTAGTAGATAATTGGCTATGTAAGTTAATATATTTGTCTGCATTGCCATAATTATTGGTGCGCTAATATCTTTGTATAACTATAAATATATTTGTATACATATTTTTAATTAATTATATAATTATTATATAATATACAAATAAGAGAAAAAATAACTATATACATTTATACAATTATATATGTGGATATTTATAGCAATGTGGCTACGTAGCAAATTTAATAGCAAATAAGTGGCTACGCAGACAAATATAAATTCATATAGCCATGTTATGACTACAACAGATTAATTATATTATTAATTATATTATATATTTTTATTAATTATTAATAACAAGACTTACTCGTTTTCTATTATTAATAATGTTTTCTTCTTCAGATATCTCCAAGCGAGTATCTTCTTCCTACATATAAATAAAGAAACAATAAATAAATAATAATAACAATATCCTAAATAAAAAAAAATAATAAATAAATAATAATAACAATATCCTAAATAAAGAAAAAAACAATAAATATAAAAGAAGAAACTTACTCCTTTATTTATATCTTCTTGAGATATATCCATAATAATACACTTCACTTAATATTGTTGTTGACAATAACACGCAACAGGTGACAGCTAACCTATCCTATCAGTCCCGTCATTATTACTTCGAGATGTATATACCAATGTCACCAACATTCCCTATCCGGATACTACAACGAATCTCATTGGTGAATCATTTTTCCTCTTAGGTTCACACAGCAGCCAATGAGAGACCGTATTGACGAAATAATACTCATTTTTCACTTTTTATTAATAGAATAAATAACGATAATAATACGCTTTAAACCTTCCTTGATTAATAAGAAACTTATGTTCCAAAGTTGATATAAAACTATGCAGTAGTTATCGAGAATTAAGGTCACGACCGATCCGGGCTCGATGAAACGCATACTCCCTCTCTTTTCGCCAACCTACGGTTGGCAGCAGTCGGGAGAAAAATGATAAAGAGCACTTTAATTAAATCGTAATGTTATGAAGACTGATCTTAAATCTACCAAAAGAAAACTTGATGACTGCAAATAGAATGCAAAATTTTGTTAACAATAAGGGATGACATGCATAATCCCGAAAAAAATGTACTGAATTTGAAGACATGAAATATTGTCTCAAAAAGTCATAAAATTTTTTCTTATAATATGCTTTGAATTAGAGAGTTGCGGCACAATACAGCACAAACAGAGCATAATGCAGCACAATCAAGAAAAATTCAAAATTTGAAAAGTGCGGGGCTAGCAAAAAATTTCGTTTTTATTTTTTCTTGAATATGCTTTGAGTTAGAGAGTTGCCGTTTGCGGCACAATACAGCACAAACGGAGCACAATGCAGCACAATCAAGAAAAATTCAAAATTCGATAAATGCGGGGCTAACTTCACACACATGAAGAGACCTTTATTATGCCACGTTCTTGCTCACGCAGGTTCATTCCTCTACGCGCAATGCATGCCGAGTAATAGACATTGCCCAATTCGCTCCTATGCTCAATTAGTCCCGCTCTACCCTACAAAATAATTTAAAACTTGTTTATTTTGAAGATACCGAAAGACCAGGTTGATGTAGCAAAAGATGAGGTAACAAAAACAGTACATAGATATCTTTGCAAAAAGAAACATATGAACTTCATAGATAGACATGTCATTACTTGCTTTAAAGAATACAATAGGTTTTCACGATAGATTTTTAGGCGATAATGAGGCTATTTTAGTTATTAAAGCGGATAAAGGCCAAACGACGGTAATTATGGATAAGAAAGATTATATAGACAAAATGATTGTCTCATTGGGTGATTAATCTACTTATATTAAGCTGACTAAGGATCCCATTAAAAAATTGTCGAATAGAATCAATTCTTTAGTTAAATCTTGGCGGGATAATAAATTAATTGACGACACAACATATAAACTTCTTAATACTACTAATGGTATTTTATCACGTGGTTACGGATTACCGAAAATTCACAAGTCCAATGTTCCGTTAAGAATTATAGTGTTGTCACTAGGTAGTCCTACGTATAATGATAATGAAATAGCTCGTTTTTTGCATGACATATTGGAAAGATCAGTGAAGAAACCTGCTTCCCACATTAAAGATGGTTGGAGTTTTGCGAATATACAATAATTAAAAATCGTAATATTAATGATAATGAAATAATGATCTCTCTTGACGTCACATCTTTGTTCACAAATATTCCTAAAGAATGGGTTTTAGAATCCATTGAGAGGCGTTGGACAGATATTTCGTGTAACAGTTTTAGTTTATCACAGTTTTTATATGTCATTGAAACGGTATTAGATTCGACAAGTTTTTGTTTTAATACTCAATTTTATGAACAAATATAATACATGGTACTCCTATGGGGTCCCCCCTATCGCCTATTTTAGCAGACTTAGTTATGGACGATCTTGAAATATATTGTTTTAACGCTTTACAATGGGATTTTTCAGTTTATTATAAAATAGTGATATAAGGCGGGTTCTAACTT